ATGAAGCAGTGTTAGGAAAATCTGCCTCCAGCCAGAAGACACAATGAAAACAGTCAGGCTACTTGGGCCTTGCCCTCCCCAAACCAAATAACACTTGGCCTAAAAGACTGACCAGTATAGGACAGGGGCCCGGGGGATAAGGAAGGGGAAGGAGAAAGAGAAAGATGAGGAGGAGTGGGAAGGAGGAGGGAAGGGGAAAAGAGGAAGAGGAAGGAGGAAGGTAGGAGAGGAAGAAGAGGAAGGGGAAAATGACATCATCATCCAGACCCCTGACTGATGGCAGTGTAGCGGGGTCTTTGCGTGATAACCACCTGCATAATGCCAGATATCCTACAATTCTTTTGTTTTTCCCCATTTACCAAGTAAGACATCCTGTCCCTGTAAACCCTCACTGAGCCAAATACCCTGTGCATGACTGGGAAGATAGGTGGTCAAGTCAAGGCCAAGGTAGAACGTAGACTGTACCCTCCAATAGCCCACGCCTCTCTGTTTCTCCCGTGGAATGGAAAGAGCACGGCTCACTGTGGAGAGCTCACTGGGATGTTTCTGAACTCCTAACAATCTCTCTGCCCTTTCTAAATGATGGGAGATTCGGAAAGAAATGCTGGGCTGTCTTGGAAGACCACCTAGAGGGGAAATTCTGAATGTGTCTATGACGATGCAGCCAGGGCTGAATTCCTGACTACCCCGTTCTCAACACAGCAGGAGATAATTCCGAAGGGGTGACTGTCCCTTCCTTGTAGCCCAGAACCCTGGGCAATCTGACCCCTCAGAAGACCCCAGTCCCTTTCTCTGTTGCCAAGGGGAAGAAAGAATAGGAGAAAAAAAAAAGGGAGAACCTATCAGATATGCATTGGCCCTGCGGATGACTCTCTGTTTAACTCGTAATCAAAACAACTCAAACCCAGTTACTGTTTGCATATCTGCCAAGTTTCTCAACTTCAGCAGGCTGCAGGCTCCGGGTATGACAGGCTGTCTTTCAGACTCCAGCAGGATCTGCCAAGCCCCAGCAAACAGGCAACTGGGAAATCAAATACTAGGGAGCTAGGACAGTCCTACACCTCCCCTCCCCTCACGCTGCCAAGGTTGTGAGGGCCCCAGCCGTTCAAAACCCTGCCCACATTGCTTTCTGAAACCATTGCCATCCAGAGCCTGTGGGACATTCTTAGGGCATTGTTGGTAAGAATGTGGGGATGTCATCTCGTCATCTCATCAATAGATGAAGGGTCCTCTCAATTCAAATAGACAAAAAAGGAAAAAAGAAAGAAAGAAAAAAGAAAAGAAAGAGAAAGAAGGAGGAGGAAAGAAAAGAAAAACATCTTCACTTTCAAGTGTTAGGTGATATCCGCCAATCTGAAGATAAAGGTACTCAGATATGCTGCAAAGCGTAATTGAGACTAAAGTAGACGTTAAATGCACAGGGCTCATCTTTAAATCGCACACCATAAAAGCTTCTCGCGAAACTGAAGATAAGGTCCTTTCCCTAGGAAAGCGCGAGCTTTTTAAACCTATCCAATCCTACCTAGGAGGGGTCTGGGTCCAGCAGGTTTAGCCACAGTTGCTACTATTGGCGCTGATCACCATAGCAGATATTACTGAACAGGCATTGTTTTGACTGTGATTTTTTTGACTATAACCTGCGGATCTTAATGACTCACACTAAGATTAGGGCGTGCAGGCTGCGGTCTTAGTTATGGGCATATGACTGTGCTCCCTGATTAATAACAGCCAGCATACACCTGAAGACCCGACAGAAGCAGGTACTGCACTGAAGGCAAGAGCAGCACTCCTACTCATGAGCCCACAGGACAGGGTACTGCAAAGCCATCTTCAGGTGATACCACGTTCTCGAAATCAAAATGTTGCTTCTAGGAAACAGTGCTCTTTTTTTTTAAGTGGGTTAGGACACTGACACTCAAAACAAGGCATTAAAAGTTACTTTAAAGTTTTTAAAAGATAGAGAGAGATGTTGTTGAAAAAGAGGCTGCCGGCTGCCGGTACTGTGGGGGCCCTGTAGAAAGGGTCCAGCTGACCTGTATACCTGTGCTAACCTGTATACCTGCCAAGAAACGGTACCACAGCTGCAGACAATCTGCCGGGGATGCACACAGACCCTGCAGTCTGTAGCGTGCTGGGTGTTCTCTGAGAGCATCTCTGTCCCCGGGGCCCTGCACCGGCAGGAGGAAGGCAGCTGCAGAGACCCCTCCCCCAGGGACGCGGGCCCCTCTGTCCAGGAAGCTGCCATGTACGGCCCACTTTTTTTTGCTATCAATGGTGGGATCTTTAACAGACCCAAGGAAGTAATAGAGGGATCTGAATGATGTCTCTTGGGTCTGAAGAGGGGGCCAAGCCCCACACTAGTCTTGAGCTGTCTTTTTCAAATCCACGGTTGTGTTGGGGAGTGTAATTTACTAATCTGCCCGTATCCATTCTTAAACCAGCAACATTTCTGAAAGAAATGAGATTTCTGGTTTCACCATGAGTCCGATTACCTAGTGGACATTTGCCACCTTGGGGAAGCTCCTGAGAAATTCCCGCTCACCCGTTTGAATTAGCTGACAGGGGAATCCCTGGTGAGTTCTTATTGTTTCATCTGGGGAAACTAGGGGTGACTTGGATCTATTTCTGAGAAAAATCATGTGTGTGTGTGTGTGTGTGTGTGTGTGTGTGTGTGT